CCACACCCTGATCTTGAGTTCTTTTAGGAGTCTTGGATAGTTTCCTTGCTTTCTGGTGCAACAAGATATTCCAGACTCAGCTGGGACTGGTGGTATGCACCTGTGGTGCATACCTGCTGAGGCAGGGGGATCATGTGAACCCAGAAAGTTGAGGCTGCAGTTAGCCATGATCGTGCCATTGCACCCAGCCTGTGCAACAGAGGGTGACGCTGTCTCCAAAAAAAAAAGATATTACAGACCCATTTTATATATTTCCTGTCCCAGACTGGAAGCAGCCATTTCTCCAAGGAGCGGTGGTTCCTTTGAATGGGAAATGGTATTGAGAAGTTACAGTGTGGTCACTAGAGGTATATTCCTTGTTATGGCTGTTTGTTGTTTCTAGGCCAATAAATTAATATTTGTAAAGAGAAAATACATCATGTGTTCCTACAGATATGTGCAATTCAAATTTAGGATTATAGGATTTTTTAGTTTTTATATTTTTATGTCTTGTTATACTGAAAATCTTGGTTGCTAACAATGTTAACATAATTATTTGAATTTATACACACATATATTTATATCTTCAGAATAATCATATCAATGCCATTACTAACAACATAATTACTGAAAACATAAGACTTCTGTGCAGTTTTTTGTTGTTAGAATATGTCCCACTAAAGATGTATAGTCAACTACTGTGGTTTCCTTTTTTTCAACTACCATGAAAAGTCACTTAAAATAAAGTCACCTAATTAAAGTCACTTAAAATAAGTCCTCTCTGTGTGAGTAAACCACCAACTTGATATATAATGAGGTTTACTTGTTTCGCTTTGCTTTGATTTTAAGGATTGTGCTCTTATTTTTATTGAAATTGATTTGTTTTATAATTGTGTATAACATATACACAATTCTCAAGTCAAATATGCAAAGTATGTATTGTTCATTTAAAGTGAAGCAAGGCCTCTCAAACTCTTTGTTCAAAGAAAATCATAGTCATAGGAGAAAGAAGAACAAAGAAACTTACGAAGTTCTTCTAGCCAATACAGACTAAGTATACCTTCATTTTTTAAAAGAGATGTCAATTACAAGGTTATTACCAGGGCAACATATAGTTAAGCAAGGTTACCAACTTAAAAGCAGATTTTTTAAAAAAGGTACATAGTTATAGTTCTCTGAAACCCACGTGGCTTAAAAGATTCCTTTGTTTCATATACCATTTGCAGCAGGTATCAGAACTGGATGAGTCACACATTCTCACCTAAGTGCCTGTCCTGGGAGCAGGGGGCGGGCAGAATGATCTCGTGGGTGCTTTATGAGAACAGGCTTTCACCAGCTTTATGAGGCTCTCGGGAGAGTGTCTGCTTTTCCACTCTTGCAGGGGAAGGGGGAACATCTCCTTTTCCCCTTTCTGAGATTCCCTTCACTAGAAATTGTCAATCGGGAGAATCTGCATTCTCAAGGTCAAGCCCTGGAATTCCATTAGACAGCAGGGAGCCAGAAGGGCAGGCTGAGAACTGAAGTCAAGAAATGGAAAGAAGTCTTACAATTCTGCTTCTACAGCCTGCAAAGAGTCAAAGCCGAGATGCCGCACGACCCTGAGACACGCCTCTGCTCTCACCTTCATCACCCTACCAGGATCCTTGGGCCGTTTCTTTAAGCTTGGCCCTCCTCCAGGGTCAGCCAGGGATTCAGAAAAGAGCCTTCAGATTTTGCATTGCTGTCATTTTGGTGCTCCCCAGAAAGCCATGGAGTGGCATCAAAGGATCTACCCACTCACCCCGTTCCCATAACCCCTAGCTTGGCACACACCGAGGAATGCCATGACTGGCTGGTTGTGATTGGTATACCCCAGATTTCCCAGTGTCTCAGCAGTTTTGAAAGAGCTTCCTTATTGCACAGGCCCAGATGTGAAAAACGTTGTCAAGAAAATGAGGGCAGGTCATCCTCTCCTTTGGGGGCCTTGGAAAATATCCTGGTCCATTTTATTCATATCTTAGAGTATACTGTAGCATTTGAGAGTATCCTTATCTTCTCTGAATGGCTAAAGGAATGCCTATAGCAAAGGCTGGCAGAATCACCATCAACACCAGGACCTAGTTAACTCTTGGAATGCCCATTTCTGTTGATGACCAGGGCATGGTTATTCACGGTCCAACTGTACAGCCTTGGAGACTTACCACCTGTGATGAAACCCAGTCCAGATTATTGCTGAAGCGTTACAAGCTGGGGAGTATGCGTGGGTAAAGCCCTGCCCCCAGGACTAAAGCAAAAGGGTTTCTGGAAATTTGTCCAGGCTGGGGCATACAATCAATCTCAATCCCTGGCAGTCCTCAGGAGGTTGCCCAGGCAGGGGATCTGGTGGACAGCACTACCCTACTCCTGGCCACGTGCTCATCAAAATCTGATGCAGGCTGGGAAGTGCAGGCGGCTGAATTCATCTCCCAATTCTTGTGGAACCAGAGGGTTGTCTAGGCTGAGGAATGGCTGCTTGGAGAATCCCACTCCATGTCCTCTGGAACTTTTCCAAAAGGCAACTTAAGCTGGGCACGGGCCAGAGGTGAAGCCCCCTCCCTCATCCTGTTAAGCATTCCTGAGAGGAATGTCCAAGCTGAGAGACTAGCGCCAAGGAAATGACCTCCCTCCATCCCCATTCTCCTGTACTGGAAAGGGCCAACTTGCAGGTTAGTGCTAAAGACTATTTTTTTTTTTTTTTTGGAGACAGGGTCTTGCTCCTCTGTCACCCAGGCTGGAATGCAGTGGCGCAATCATGGCTCACTGTAGCCTTGACCTCCCAGGTTTAAACAATCCTCCCGCTTCAGCCACCTGAGTAGCTGGGACTACAGGCATGTAATCTCAGCTCACTTCAACCTCCACCTCTCAGGTTCAAGCGATTCTCCTGTCTCAGCCTTCCAAGTAGCTCACTCAGCCTTTTAAATTTTTTTGTAGAGGTGGAGTCCTCCTATGTTGCCCAGGCTGGTCTCAAACTCCCAGGCTGAAGTGATCTATCTTCCTGCCTCAGCCTCCCAAAGTGCTAGGATTAAAGGTGTGCATCACTGAGCCCAGCCTATTTTTTTTTTTTTTTAAATTTATTACATGCATTTGTGCTTTCTACATTAATTAGATTTTCCAGTAGTTTAAACATTTTGCCATCCTTCTTCAAATTTATCATTTTTGTTTTCCAGTTATTCAAGTTATTTAACTTTCTAGTATTAGTGCTGTTAAAAAGTCTGACACCATCCAAATTTCCTTTCTTGTGTAAGTCATTTGTCTTTTTGCATGGAGGCTGAGAGGACTTATTTTGAGACAGTCTTGCTCTGTTGCCCAGGATGGAGTGCAGTGGTGCGATCTTGGCTCACTGCAACCTTGGCCTCTTGGGTTCAAGTGATTCTCCTGCCTCAGTCCCCAAGTAGCTCAGATTACAAGTGTGCACCACCATGCCCAGCTAATTTTTGTATTTTCAGTAGAGAGGGCCAGGCTCGTCTCGAACTTCTGGCCTCAAGTGATCTGCCTGCCTCAGCCTCCCAAAATGCTGGGATTACAGGTGTAAGCCACCACCCCTGGCCCGAGAGGACTTCTTTTATCTTTGAAATCTAATCAGTTCACTAGGATCTGAGACTCCTGAGTCAATTTTCCCAAGCACACCGAGTGTCCTTACAGTATCCATATTAAGGGTGGTTTGTTTTGTGGGGGAAGAAACTTTTATTACCAGTTTAAACATTACTTCTGTTCCATTGTTTTTTCTTCAACATAAAATTTAATGTAGTTAATAAAACCTAAATATAAGACCTGAAACTATCAAACTCCTAGAAGAAAACTTAGGGAAAACATGTCATGACACTGAATTTGGCAATGATTTCTTGGATATGACACCAAAAACAGACAATGAAAGCAAAAGCAGATGAATGAGACTGTATCAAACTTAACTTCTGCACAGTTAAAAAAAAAAAAAAAACCAAAAAAACAGTAGAGTGAAAAAGTAACCTGCAGAATAGGAGAAAATATTTGCAAACCATGTTATCTAGTAAGAGGTTAATATCCAGAAGTGGGACATGCAAATGGCCAAGAAGCAAACAGAGATGCTCAGCATCACTAATCATCAGGGAAATGCAAATAAATCAAAACCACAATGAAATATCACCTCACCCCACTTAGAATGGTTACTATCAAAAAGATGAAAGATAGTGAATGTGGAAACTATGAAAAAAAAAGAGTTGGTGAGGATGTGGAGGAACTGGAACTCTTGTGCACTGATGGTGGGAATGGAAAATGGTCAGCTGCTACGGAAAATAGTACGAGCGTTCCACAGAAAATTAAAAATACAACTACCATATGATCCAGCATTCTAGGTATACATCTAAAGGGATTGAAAGCAGAAACCCGAGGAGATATCTGCACTCCCATGTTCACTGCAGCACTATCAGCAATACCCAAGAAATGGAAGTAGCCTAAATGTCTATCAAAGGTAAAGAAAGAAAATGTGGTATATCCATGCGATGGAACACTATTCAGCCTTAAAAAGGAAGGAAATTCTGACCACATGCCACAACATGGAGGAAGCCTGAGGACATGATGCTAAGGGAAACAGGCCAAAAAGACAAACACTGTATGGCTTCCCTTATGTGAGGTATCTAAGAAAAACACGAAGTAGAATGGTGGTTGCCAAGGGTCGGGGATGGACAGAGGCAAGGGGAAAGGAGTTGTCTGATGGATGAGTGTGGTTTCACAATTTGAAAAAGTTCTAGAGATTTTGTGACTAACAATGTGCACAGAGTTAACACCCCTGTTCTAGATGCTTAAAAATGGTTAAGATGGGAAGTTTATGTCACGTTGTGTTTACCCCCACCACCACCACCAAACTCAATGTAGTCAAATTTTCTTCTTCAACTATATTCAATTTAATTTCCTTTGCCTCTTTTCCTTATCTATTACTTTCTTATTTCCTTTTTTTATTTCTTTTCAATGGAGTATCATCCCCCTGTGCATCTTCTATTTACGTTTGTGATAACCTTTCCTTTTTCCTCATTTTCCAGGGTCAGCTGTGGTCTTCCACTCTTTCCATCGCCACTACCCCTTCCCTCCTGGTCTGCAGTTTCTAAGCCCTTGAGAGCTGGAGATCCAGGTGGTGGCCCCTGGTAAACTGTATGAGCAAACAGGTTCTGAGGTGGCCTCATCAGAGGGCTGAGCTAGATGCTCCATGGGATTTAAAGGTGAAATTTGGTGACAATGGTATTAGCTCAGGGGCCTTCTGGAACCAATACTTGGGTGTCTTTGAGCCAAAATTTTCGCCAAGCAATCTCTGTAAAAGGGAGGGGTTATCCGTCCACTTAAGACAGAACTGGGAAGGCACAGGACACATGAGGTTATGGCAAAACTGCAAAGACTACAGGATAAACGTCCTCCAATCTTTGTTCTGAAAAGTCTGAAAAGGTTAAGCAGCCAACAAACTCAGATGGACAGAAATAAAACATCTGTAAGCCTTATGGTGGTAAAGTTTCCAGCAGAGAAAGAACAAAGTTGGGCCACTGGCTCTATTCCTGCCCATTCAGAAGAGGGCACCAACAAGTCCATGGCTTGCCGAGTGACCTCACATATTGGTAACTTTCTGGGCCTTTTCTCCTTATCTGAAAGAAAAAAAATAGGAGGAAGGAAATATTTCCAGCTTCTGAGGTGACTGCTTTTATTGCATATGAAAAAGGGTTTTTTGTAGAGACAAGGTCTTGCTATGTTGCCCAGGCTGGAGTGCAGTAGCTATTCACAGGTGCAATCACAGCACACTATAGCCTCGAACACCTGAGCTCAAGCGATCCTCCTGCCCTGGCATCCCACGTAGCTGGGACTTAACAGGGATGTGCCACTGTGCCCAGCAATAAACATTACCTTTTTTTATATACATGAAAGACCTCCCCTTGCTGGGCATTCATGCAACTTCTGAATATATTCAGAAGAATCAAGTATCTACACGGACAAGATAGATTTTAAAGGATTTTTTTTTAAAACATAAAAGACTCTAAAATGTGGTAAGAAATCAGTCTTGTGCATTCTGTACATCTGTATTCTCCATTCTGTCTTCATTTACTGCTACAGGAAGCTGATGCCACAGCTGGCCACAGTTGAACAAAGACATGAGAAGGCCAGTTAGTCTCTTCACCACAGAAGCCCCCAAGTGAACCTGCTTCTGCAGGGCAGTTCTCAGTGTCCCTTAACTTTGTTCTCCCCAGGAGAAATCCATTTTGCTGCCAAATGTGACCAGCAGACTTGGGCGGACACACCTAGCACAATCACAGTCCTGTCATGCTGCCAACGTGGCCCAAGGCATGGTGTGCAGGGCAGTGTACCTGGAGGGCCTGGGCTACGCCTGCTCGCCAGCACCACCTCCGCCAGCAGCAGAACCCTTGCTGGACGCCTGGGCATCTGAGGAGCGGGAGGCCTGCTTTGGCAGGCGGATGGGGACGTAGATGTTGGAAGCACAGTGCTCCTTGAGGTACTCTCCTCCCTTTTCTTCATATTCTTTCCTGGTGATCCAAACTTCACTGTCATCTAGGTGGTCCAAGGCCCAGTCACGAGCCCCGTACCAGGCATCCAGTACAGGGTTCGAGGCAAGTTGAACCTGAAACACAAAGATGATTCACCAGGATGCCTCCACCAGGGCTCCAGCTGTGAATGTTCACCTGGCTCAGCTATGGCCCCTGGCATTTTATTCCCAGAAATATACACATAGGTGGGCCCAGTGCACTCCAAGACAGTTCAGGGCTAGTTCTACACTCTGTAAACAAAGCTGAGCTGGAATGTCAGACTCTCCAGAACAGACGGTTTTCAGATAGTTTACAAACAAAAGACCTGCCACTCGAAAAGGGACCGTGGCCCAGCCTCCTGCTGCACGATGCTGTCAACCACAAGCTGTCAGGGAGAGGTGAAGCGGAGACCCATGACCTGAGGAAAAGGCCTTCCTAGCCCTCCTCCCCACTCTGAGCAGAGGGAAACAGAGGCTGCTGCAAGGTGACTCTAGCCAGGGTAGCAAAACAGCCTCAGGAGAAATGACAGCAGAGAGGGGTGACCTGGTCATTCTCAGTGAGGCTGCCAGCGCTTAGTTTCCCCTGCTTCTCACTGGAGTTGGTCCGGGGGTCAGCAGCTCTGAGAAGGCCCTCGGCTAGGCTGACCTGATCATTACGGTACTCTGCAGCTCCCATTGGGCCTCCTGTGTTCTGGAGTTACCTGCCTCACTTCCTACCTTCGTCTCACCTCCCCACTCCACCAATCCCGTGAGTTCCAGGTTGGAATGATGTTTTCAGAACTTTCGGGAGTGAGGGCAGAATCGGCATGCACAAACTGAGGTGGGAAAGTACAGACTCAGGAGTCCGGCTGCTGGGCTCGCCATGCAGGCAAGGGGCCTGTGAATGAGGGCCTTGTCACTAGGATAACCAGAGGCCCCACCCCCTGGCTTAGGGGGACTTACAGCATAAGTGTAAGGCATATGGTAGATGCCACCTAGTGGGGTATGGGTAGCTGTCATTACTAACAAAAAATGCAGCAAGATAGATGGTTAATAGACTATACAGCCACGAAAAGGATACTCTAGAAATGTACCTATTGATATAGAAAAACTCACAATAATTTGAAAGTAAAAAAAAATACAGGTTACAAAATAAGCTATCAACAATCCATTTTTGGTTAAAACCATACACGAGATGAAAGCAACCAGAAAGCATACAAAGAACATTACTTGCAGAGGATGAAACTACAGTTTTCTTGGTTTTCATTTTGGTTTGAATTGTCTGACATTTTTATGATGTTTAAAAATGTTCTGCTGTTTAAGGAAAAACAGAAACTTAAAAGAAAGTTGTGGCCAGGCATGGTGGCTCACGCCTGTAATCCAAGCACTTTGGAGGCCAAGACGGGCGGATCACCTGAGGTCGGGAGTTCAAGACCAGCCTAACCAACATGGTGAAACCCCGTCTTAAAAAAAAAAAAAAGAAAAGAAAATTGTAAATTTGCACATCTTTGGGTTCTCTTCCTTCTAATGATCACGGAGGGCCTTAGGTGGTTGGTATGTTTGAGCCATTGCTGAATACATAATCTAAAATTGGAACATCAGGGCTTAGTGATGGTGTGACACACTCATTACATGAGCAATGTGAAAGAGGGCAGAAACAGGAGGGGAGAGGGGAGCTGTGGCTGGCCAGGTGAGACCAGAACAGCAAAAGACAAGGCTGGGAAAAGCTCTGGCTGGTAGCAGCATTCCTGCAATGAACACTCACAAAGTAATTTGAAAATTACCAAGAAATAGATCTTGAAAATCCTCTACAATTTTTCTCCACTATTTCTTCATAAGTTGCTGCTGCCAGCATGACCCAGCCCCATGTTCACACCCCCCGCTGTCACCTCTTGGCTTCAGCGCTGCAGCTGTCTCCTGCTCCCCCTCTTCTTCCTCCACCTCCTTCTTAGACTCATGGGTGTCCTATGGCTCTTAAATGCTAGTGTTCTTTAGGGGTTCATCCTTAACATTACCTACCCTCCCAAAGAGTGCCCAGAGCACATTTATGCCTGTGGTGGGTGGGAGGGTGTTTATCTACCCTCTTGTCTTCCCCACCGAGCACTCATCTAGCTAACTGTGGCCATCTCTCCCTGTGTGTCCACTGGAAACTCAACCCACCCGGAAATAGAATGTACAATCCTCTCCCTTAAGCCTGTCCTTCCTCCCACTGTTCCTCATCCAGTGACTCTCCTATTCAGCAAACTAGTTGCTCCACCTAGAACTTGGGAGTTGTCTTAGGTCCTACTTCCCTCCTCAGATCCAACTTACTACTAAGCTCTGACAATTTCACTGCCTTAGCCTCTTTCACATCAACTCCCTCTCTTCCTCTCCCTCTGCCACTGCTGTCATATTTCCTGCATAGCTACCAAGTGACACTGAGCCAAGGGCTTAAAACATATTTCACAAGACAGTGGCTGTCTCTTTCCTAACAGAGGTGGATCTTGTAAGGAACAGAGGGAAGGACAGGGAAGGCTTCCTGGAGGAAGTGATTTCCAGGAAACCAGCCACTGAGAGGGTTGGATAAGCTAGGAAGAGTACTCTATACAAAAGGAGCCAGCATGTGGAAAGGCCCTGAGGCAGGAAAACATGGCAGCTCTGGAAAACTAATAGTAGTTAGCTGTGGCTGAAGTACAAGGTGGAGGGGGAAATGATGAGAGAACCCTGGACAGTTCTTCAAGGTCAGAACACAAGGGACCCTGGAAACCCTGGCGAGTACAGTGAGGACTTCCTCCTAGAGGCAGGGAAGCTGCCTCCTAAGTGGTCTGCTTCCAATATTTCTCCTAATACTCCATCTTGCACATCAGTATCAAATATATCTTACTAAAACGTAAATCAGATCACATCACTTCCCTGCTTAGAATCCTTTATGGTTCATCACTGTGGCCTAAAGACACGAGCTATGCAGAAGAGTTAATAGGACCGGCCTACTGTGACCTTAGAAAGGCACACTTACAAGTGTGGGCCTTGGCAGGCAACTGGGAACTTGAATTTTGGAAGGGTTCCCGCCATCACCTGGTAAGAGTGGGTCAGTATGCCCATTCATACAAATAATGTGGCTTATGCCAAATGCATGATTCCCTTCTGTGACCTTGGAATTTGGGTCTGCTCCAAGCAGGGGGGTACCTATATGATCAGCCCCCAAATACAAATCCTAGGCACTTCGTCTCCTACAAGCTTCCCTGGTTGGCGACATCTAATGTGCCCTTACGACACACTGTTGGAGAAATTATGTCCTGTGTGACTCCACAGGGAGAGGCCTCGGATGCTTATACCTGGTTGCTCCCAGATTTCCCCCGGGCACCTTGTCTCTCTGCTGATTTGCCATAGTAAGTCACAGCCATAAGTGTGATTATATACTGACTCCTGTGAATCCTCCCAGAGAATCATCCTGCCTGGAATGGTCTTAGGGACCCTCAGCACAACAGCTAGGGTCTGAGAGTTTATTACATGCAGACCCATTGTTAGGCGCTTGACGTGCACCAGTACACCAAATCCCAGCAACAGGTACTGATTACCCACTTTCTACCACTGAGAAAGCCGAAGTTTAGCACAATTCAGTAACGGTGGTGATGGAGTCAGGACCAAGTCCCAGAGATGCCGCCCTGAATGTACACTACATCATGCAGCAGAGCAGATCATGGCCAAGCTCCTTAGTAGGATGCACAGGCTCTGCACAGTCTGCACAATGTGGGCTTTGCCGACCTCTCTACCTCACCCACCTCCACTTCTCTTTATCGGCCACTCCAGCAACACTCAGTCACTTCTCACTCCCTCAACAAGCCTCTGGACCTGTGCCCTTGCTCACGCTAGTCCTTCCGTCTGGGATGTTCTCTCCAATGTACCCCTTGCCCCACACCGTCTACATGGCAAATGCTTATTCATCCTGAGAAGATCCAGATCCATGGAGCCTTTTTCTCTGAAAGCCAATGGAGACTGCCAGGTGCCCATGCCTGTACCGTCCCTTACGCTCCAATTTGCCTGGTTCCTGACGCTCAGATAGCAAGGTCCTTGCAGCCAGGTGCTATGTTCAGGACATCCCCATAGTGCCTGGTCCATGATGGGAGCTCATCAGACTGTGTTTCTTGGTAATCAGGGAGTTGGTAGATAAATTGTGAGGCATTCACACCAGTCATAAAGATAGTCTTTTAGAAGAATAATGACATGGGAAAATGTACATGACAGGTTCAGTTCAGCTTACAAAGCAGTACACACTCACATGTGTAGAAAATTTAAGATGCACAAGCTCTGCCTGTAGAGCCAGGGACTTTGTAGGGAGAAAGGCTTATTCTTGATGTACACTCTTTTGTACTCTTAGAATTATATGCATGTCTTCATCTTCCAATTTAAAGAAACCACAAAATAGTATATAAAACATGATTCCCATTTTGCTTGAAAAATTAAACATAGACTTAAGACTAGAAGTCACAGAAATGTTAACAGTGATATTTCAGCATGGAGTTATAAAATAATTTACGCTTTATTACTTTTGCAAACAGAAAACAGGTAATGCTGTTTTCAAAATAACTGGCTACCCAAACAATCAGTACCTGAAAAGAAGACTGGAAGGGTCTCATCTCCAACAGCTCCTTCTCCATTCTGGCTTTCATCCCAGGATACATCGTGTTCCCGCCAGTGAGGAAAACGTTCTGAACCAGCATTTCCTGAATGTCTTTTGGGTACCTAGGAAAGAAACGACTCCTGATATAGTCCCTTAACTCGAATCAGAATGAAATGCGGATGCAGAAATGTAAGCTCTCAATACAAAACAGAATCTACACAAAAAGCTAAAAAAAAAAAAAAAAAAAAAAAGTCAAAACTTTCATTTTCCATTTGCGTCTCTACAGAATGCCAGCCCAATGTTTCCAAACAGCCAGTCAAAACCATAATTTGAATGGTCAACTGACTTTCTCAACATGATTAGAATTTTTATACCTTTCTAATAAATTTTTTTTAAATAAACTTTATTGAGGATAAATTTACAAACATTTTGATAAAGGCTAACAAATTTATACATTCCACTAACTATCACTACAATTGAGACACAAAACATTTCCATTATTCACAAAGGCCATGCCTCCCTTTTGAGGGCCCATCTATCTATCTGTGCTTTCTTTTTATCTTTTTTAATAACAGCTTTATCTAATACATATTTGATCACTTTCCCAACCACTGTTAAGACAAAGCTCAAAGCCACTCAAAGTACCTGCAGCAGCTTTTTTTCCTTGCTAGGTACAAGTTTCCCTGCTGTTTTAGCCAACACAGCCACAGCACTATAAAATTCTATTCCCTACTTGCCCAACTTGAATTATCAAACTCACACTGCAGGAAAATGCCCACACAAATGGGTAAAATGCCTGCATTCTTATGGAAATGTAAACTCTTAAATAAGTAAAATGCCTGCAAGGAGGGAAAAAAAACTTTTATTAGCTCTGCAATATTTTTAGGGTGATTTAAAATCACTAGTTTTTTTGTTTTTTTCTTTTAGAATTAATGCCAAGTAGACACTTGGCATTCAAAAATCACTAGTCTTTAATAATGTGAAGGTTTGCATAGAAACCAGTGTACATGTTATCAGGTTGTTCAAACTTAAAAGACACTCTTAAGGCTCCTCAAGTCTACCCAGCATTTACAGGTTCAGAAAACAACTACAGAGCCCCAGTGAGGTGCCAGCCTGGTCATAAGATATTAAGGGAAATCTATCTGAGCATAGCAAATCAATGAAAAGAAGAGTGAGATGCATTTTCAAGTGCCTGACCATCAAATCTACCATTCAATGCAAAATCCCAGGAAATGGTTCAGGAAACATAAGGAAAAGCAGATTCACTGTCTCACCTGTCCAGAATGTACTGCAGAGTCTCTGCAATCCCAGCCTGCTCTTCTCCTATGAGAGATGGCTGGAAAATAATTTCTGGAGCTCGAATTCTTTCTGTCCCAACAAACAGCTGGTGATATGCTGCCAAGTTAAACACGGGCTTTAAAAACCCAAGGTTTAAAAGATATTTTTAGGCCAAATGACAAACATTCCAGTTGCTAGTTTCCTCAAACTGCATTTCTTATCCCAAGTTTCTGTCCTTTGTTAATGCCAGGATAGCTTCTCCCAACTCTCTCCGCTTGCTAATTCAATTTCCTACCTTCTTTCAACCTGTGTATTATAAACACATACATGTTTCCATCATGAAATGGTCCCTGAGTTACAGGGAGAGACTTTGTGGAGAGCAGTAAAAGGCTCAGCCTAGAGGACAAGTCTCCTGCTCAGCGCCTTGCTTAGTGTCCCATCCCTGCATGGAAGCTCTCTCCCAGGTGGGCCTCAGACTTAGGACAGGTTATCTGGTTGTCATTGTAGTGACGGAAACATACACTCCAAAGAGGATTACGTGTACTGGCATTGGCTTGAACATCAATGAAACCATATAAGCCAGTCTTCAGATCTCAAGTTCCCAATTACTCTCCCAAATGTTTCTGCCGGGTGGATTGTTTCTCACAGATTCACAGATCTTGGCACTGGAACCAATCAATCAATCACTGGGGGAAAAAAAAAAAATCCCTGACTTCAGATGTTTTAAGTATTGGTACCCAATTTTCTAAAAAAAATATAACAGGTTTTTCTTTTTCTTTTTTTTTTTTTTAAGTCCTAAAGAAGCAGACTAGCCCAGTCATTTATGTCAACACCTTCAAAGAATAAGCATGTTCTGGGTTGTGAGAATCAAACCTGGACAGTGGTGACCGGCTTCTCCACTCCAGGTGTTTCCTCTGAAAACAAGGGATCAAAATCATTCATGCTTTCCACATCTTCCAAAGACGGCTCCAGCTGCTCCAGGTCAGGGGTCTAAGAGAAGAAGAGAAGCAGCAAAACGAAACAGAACCTGTACCTCCAGCAGGCCTCAGTTCTATCATTTTGGTGCCACGAAAAAGAACTGGGATCTTGCCCAATGTTCTAAAACCTTATATAAAAACTATGAAAATTTTTCTAAGCTATTTTTAAAAAGCACACATGAACATGAAGACTAAAAAGCCAGGAACGGGCTTTGCTTTGATCTCCTACCTTTCCTACTTTATACAAGCCTCACCAACCCCCGCCTTCTCTAAAGCCTTCTGATGGTGCCAGCTCATGGCTGGCCCCGTGGAAGACTTGCTGCTTGCATGAGTCACACCACCACACACGCGACTCTGAGAGAAGGGTGTGACAGCTGCTATCCTACAAGGCAGCTAGACTACAAGAAAAGTTAAAGCAGCCTCTTAATAATTTATAAATACATCTGCTGGCCAGGACCAGTGGCTCATGCCTCTAATCCCAGCACTTTGGGAGGCAGAGGCAAGCAGGCTGCTTGAGCCCAGGAGCTCGAGACCAGTGTGGGCAACATGGTGAAATCCCGTCTCCACAAAAAATACAAACATTAGCTGGGTGTGGTGGTGTGCACCTGTGGTCCCAGCTACGTGGGAAGCTGAGGTGGGAGGATCACTTGAGCCTGGGAGGTTGAGGCTACAGTGAGCCATGATCACGCCACTGCACTCCAGCCTGGGTGAAAGAGCAAGACCCTGGCTCAGAAATATAAATAAATATATGTGGCAACATTAATGAGCTCAACAATCAGTTCCTTAGTAGGTACCGTTGGGCTGGGAATGGGACTAGAGGCCACAAGGCAGCAGAGTGCTTCCTATCTGTGGAGTCCTGCAGAACAAGTTCTGCTCTATGACCACAATGAACTTGGGTGGGGTCTAGACATGCTGGCACCATTCCCAAAAGAGGAGTCAGGGCACTTTAAATTTTAACCTGTACAAAATAAGTTAGCCATCTTAAGTTAGCCATTTTTAAGTTAGTGACATCTTTAGCCATCTGTCACTGGACTCAGTGGTGAGAAGTTCCAGGTAGAAATATTTAGTTGCACCCCAAAGAGGAATGCTGTAACAATGACAGCTGCTGCAGAATGGACTGTCTTATGAGGTAGTGTCTTGGGAGGGTTCAAGCAGAGTACAACCTATAGCCAAGTATGCCTGAGAGGAGACTGCACCACTGAGTATGCATTCTCTGAGTCTCTCCTTACTCTCGGAATTTATGAAGTATGTAAATTACCAACATAATTCAGAGGACTTAAATATACTTCTCTAGAACCTACTCATATATACTGCAAATGTAAACTGGCATTCAAATAAGGCAATACCCCTCAACACCCCACACACATTCACACACCAAAAGTCATGAGGCAAATATGGCATGCAAGATGGGTGACAATGTACTCGAAATTCTGTTCAGTATAGATGATTCTACAATATTTGAGGGGGGTTTTCCAGGCTTGAGGATAAAGCCTGGAAAGGAAAGCGAATGTCTCTTCATGAGAGGCTTGTGTACAGGAGAGGGGGCTGGTTTGCAGAGGTAATTTGAGGGGGAAAGAAGATGGGTATGTGACAAGAATCTAAAGAATCTTGCTCTCAGGGAAGGAAGCAAAAGCCGTCCCTGCCAATACCGAATGAGACGCAGAGGGGAGGGACACCTGCTATCTGCACAATCCTCACTGCAGAGATTTATTACTGTATTTGATGGGTGAGGAAGCTGTGGCTCAGACAAGTGAAGTAACTTGCCCAAGGTCACATCATACAAGCAGGCAGTGGACACGTGGGAGGAGACAGAACTGCTCAGTTCCAAAGTCTCTGTTCTGCCTTAAGCTGCAGTTCTATAAATCATGAGCCTAAGACAACTGGGGCATTAGGAATATGGAAAAGATCTAGCCTAAGGTCAGAATAGGTAATATAAGAGATGAATGAAAGATTTTACATGCAGCAGCAAGTCCAGCTGAAGGCAATGGCAGGCTCCTCTGTTCAAGCAGGGACAGCAGAGAAGGAGTAAAGGAACATTCCCTTGCGTCTGCAGTTTGTGATCCGGAAGACTCTCAGCTCCCCTCACAAGAAAGGAGCACTACCCCAGGAGTGTCTGTGCCTATTCTGGCTTGGCACCAAACCCAGCTCTTCAGGAATGACCCCAAAGAGGTTCCAGGAGAGGACTGGAAATTGGTCATCAAAGTTCTTTTTCATTTGGTGCTTTGTCATCTGGGGGAACCAGGAGGCAAGGTGGCATTAACAGGAAGTGGTCAGGCTCTGGAGTCACATTGCTGCAGCTCAGAATGGCAACCAAAGGTATATTAAAGGTCACAGTGAACCAGGCATAGTGGCTCACGCCAATAATCCCAGCACTTTAGGAGGCCGAGGCAGGCAGATCACAAGGTCAGGAGATCGAGGCCATCCTGGCTAACATGGTGAAACCCTGTATCTACTAAAAATACAAAAAATTAGCTGGGCATGGTGGTGGGCGCCTGTAATCCCAACTACTTGGGAGGCTGAGGCAGGAGAATCTTTTTTTTTTTTTTTTTTTTTTTTTTTGAGACGGAGTTTCGCTCTTGTTACCCAGGCTGGAGTGCAATGGTGCGATCTCGGCTCACCGCAACCTCTGCCTCCTGGGTTCAGGCAATTCTCCTGCCTCAACCTCCTCAGTAGCTGGGATTACAGGCACGCGCCACCATGCCCAGCTAATGTTTTTGTATTTTTAGTAGAGACGGGGTTTCACCATGTTCACCAGGATGGTCTCGATCTCTTGACCTCATGATCCACCCGCCTCGGCCTCCCAAAGTGCTGGGATTACAGGCTTGAGCCACCGCGCCCGGCCTCAGGAGAATCTTTTGAATCTGGGAGGCAGAGTCTGCAGTGAGCCACAATCGTGCCACTGCACTCCAGTCTGGTGACAGAGTGAGACTCCATCTCAAAAAAAAAAAAAAAAAAAAAAAGGTCACAGTGGCAGAATTGGGAAAAGTATACTCTGAGCCGCTTCTCCATCTATGTGTAAGTGGGACACACAGTTAGGACGGCGGTGGGTGAGAAAAGAACAACTAACTCTTTCCTCTTCCCTTTTAAATACACACTCAATTTGGACCCTTAAATAATTCCGTTATATTACTGGGTTGAAGACAAAGATGTCATCTGTGTATTTAAAACAACTACAGACAAAACCTGTAACCTGTGATTCCCCAAGTAATGGGTGAAAACAAGCACTGGCTCCACTGGGGTCCTTCCTCTCTACACCGCACATTTTTACCCTATTCGTCGTCTTCATCCTAACCTCCCCTCCAGCCTCCCTCAATCCAAGTGATGACCTTTCCTGTGGATTCACATGCCCTTCTCTACTTGGCCTGGAATCCAATCACTTTAGCCACCATCCGTCGTCGAACTCTATCTGCTTCTGTTACACCCAACCAACAAGCCTGCAGGCTAAACGATGCCTCTCCACACTCTTTCCACTTGCGCTCTGGAGCAGATTATATTTTAAAAGAAGGTCACAACAGTAACATCTATCCCACATACTTTTCTGTAATACGACCTTGACACTCCCTGTAAAGAGGTGGCGGGTCTTTGTTTCCTCGCCTTGAGTCTTTGTGGGGAATTGTGAGGACTACGACCAACAAAGTATGTGCAAATGATGTCATGTGATTTCTGAGGTAAGGTCCTAAAAGGTCATGCAGTTCTCTTATCATCTCTTGAAACATTCACTCTCTGGCTGCTCTCTTGGGAAGCTCCCTCTTGGAAGCCAGTGGTCAAGCTGGGAGGAGCCCAAGGCATACGAAGAGGCCATGTGTGGGTGCCTGTCAAGTGTCCCCCATAAACCCAGCCCTTGAGCCCTCCCAGCCCAGATACCAGACAGGTAAGTGAAAAACCCTCCACCTGATTCCCGTCCCTCACTGTTTAAGTTTTCCCAGCAGTGGCTCCAGGCACCTTGAAGCAGAGATCCCTGCTGTATCCTCTCTAAATTCCTCTCCTATCAAACCCGAGAGCACAATAAAATGGTGGTTGTTTTATGCTGCTAAGTTTGGAGTGGTTTTTGTAGCAACAGAAAAGTTAAATACTCTCCAGGGGGGCAGGAGTGCAGAAAGCCCCAGGTGCTATTTTGGCAATTCTGAGGTTACTTTTCAGCTTCTTTGTGCCTGCCCTTTCCCACAGTCCCTTTCCACAGCCCCCTTTCTAATATCAACCCTGGAAATCTTAAAAGATCACCTCAGTTGCTTCAAAAACTGAACTTCCCTCTTAATTCTTCATTCTACTTCCTTAAATGTTTTCTTGTCCTTGAAAGCGTTTCAAGGTTCTAGCAGGGGAACGCAGCTACTGCTATGCCCTTGACCGAAGAGTGGTCCTCCTCTATTGGTGATGGTCATTCTCTTTGATCAAGTGTGCAGCTTCGGGAGGGATGCGCATGAAGTGGTGAGGACAGAAGGGGACACCTGCCTAGCCAGACAGATCAGTCGAATCAACCGCACCAATCATCACAGCCAGATCACCCCCATGTCCTATTTTCTTATCCTTTCTTTTTTTTTTTGAGACGGAGTCTCACTCTGTTGCCCAGGCTAGAATGCAGTGGCATGACCTCGGCTCACCGCAACCTCTGCCTCCCAAGTTCAAGCAATTCTCCTGCCTCAGCCTCCTGAATATCTAGGATTATAGGAGCATGCCACCACACCCAACCAATTTTTGCATTTTTAGTAGAGATGGGGTTTCACCATGTTGGTCAGGCTGGTCTCGAACTCCTGACCTTGTGAGTTGCCCACCTTGGCCTCCCAAAGTGCTGGGATTACAGGAGTGAGCCACCACACCTGGTCTTTTCCTATCCTTTCAAGCCTTCCTTGTTTCAAAAAATAATCTGTCATCCTAGGTTAAGCTGACCATTCAAGCTCTTAACTCTCCCATCAATTCTTTCGGCCTCCTTTATCTCTGACTGCTTTTTCTCAATCTCCATCCTGGCTTTTCTTCTGTCACCTAACTCTCAAGTGGTGGCATTCTCCAGGCATTTTT